TATATTTTCTTCGCTTTAATTCAAATTAAAAACATTTTCACAGAAAATTAAATAAATTATGTTCTTGTAAAATACAATCCACTTTGATATTTTGGAGCAAATAAAATAAAACGTTAATTGAGGCATTGTTACCATAATATACCATGGTAATAGAGTTTGGTAGTACAAAAGATTATACCTAGGTGGTCTGAAATATCTATTATGATGACAGAAATATATTAACCACCATATATCATCATCTAGCACCAGCTAGTAGCTACTACCATATACCATCACGGGATATTTGATACAAAAAAACATTTGTCAAAATATATAAAAATTGGCATAATTTTCTAGTTCACAATAAACTCTTCATTTCGTGTAAAACTTTTCAACTTTCGAGTCAAAACGATTGAGGTAAAGGGTAGTAGAGATTGGTGGTGGTCCGGAAATTTCTTCATGAAACATAAAAAAACTGAATATTATTTTATAGTTCACAATGAATACATGCATTTTGTGCAACATTTTCAATTAGATTTAAAACAAAAAAGGTATACAAGTTGATTAAAAACATAATAGATTTAAAATTTCTTTTAACCTTAACCATCAAATCTCGATTCACAAAATTTGAGAGATCATATGATCATATCTATTTAATATATAACTATATCAAGAATAAATATAATTTTATAGTTCACAACGAACCCGTTCCTTCTATAAATAATTAGTTGTGCATTTGTACATAATCATATTTGGTTCTTAATTTGAACTCAGCCAAGATATGATGGTTAATATATAATTCTCTTTATTTTTAATCGAGTTGATTTCTTCTTCATTTTAAATCTGATTTTGACATTTTTTACTCAGGAAAATAAATTTAATGTGATCTATAAATAATATTAAAACTAGAGAAAAGGTAACTAAAGAAATGGACACTCTAAAAGTTCAGACAAGTTTTCATGAAAAATATTGTTCGAAGTAACTTTCTTGATTTTTTTGTGTTCTTTTCACGCTAAAGTAATTCTCTTCCAGATCATGCTTACCTTCCTAATCTTCAGGAGTCAGCACCATGCTAGTCAGTAATCACCTCACCATCCATTAGTTTAATTATTATTATAATATTATTTTTAATCCAATAGTTGAGATTAGTCGGGTTGTTTGTAGGGTGGTTATACGGTCCGGTTAAATTGGCCCAAATTGTTCCGGTTCAGTCCGGTCTTTTTGAAAATATAAGGATCAAAGATTGGATTGGACACAGTCCGATCTTGATCCGGTCCGGTCCCAATTCCGGTCTTGATTTTATATTGAGTTTGTGGCGATTTGAGTGGCCTAAGGCCTGAAAGGGTGAGGAGTTGGTTAAGTTTTGTACTAAGTGCAAAGGTTTGTGACCGTTTATGCAAATTACCCTTAATTTTTCTTATCCGGTCTTTATCTAGTTTCGATCCGGTCCCGAACGATTTTTTACCTGAAATCTAAGCCCAAAAATTGGATTGGATTGTTTACTATCCGGTCCAGGTCCGGTCTCGGTCCAGGTTATACGATCCGATTTTTTGTAAAATCAAAAAACCCGGACCAAATAGCCAGCCCTAGTTGTTTGGGTATCTTCTTTTTTCATATCTGAGTTTCACATATGAGGATGAGGTAATAGTCCGCATCCGATTTGTAGTCGTTCGGAGTAGGTTGTAATTTTGGTACAGTATTTTGGGATATACGAATGTCGTACCAAATTTTTTTATATTTGGTTATATTAAATACACGTATTATTTTGTAAGATTGTGCTTGAATTTTAAGTGTTATTTGGTATTAGAAATTACGAGATTGTGATTGATATATACTAAAAGACTAATCAATACCAAAATATAAGGTAGTGTATTTTATCCCTCCCAACTGGACTTCCTCAATCACAACTACCAGACCCTCAACCACCAAGATGATCACTTAATTATGCATAGCCCATTCTTTAACTATTTGATAACTCATACCAAGCTTATTTTGTTATTTGTAGTATGTTTATAGGTTGCTTAGTCGTCCCATGTTTTAGTTTGTTGCGTTAGTTTGTTAATGTGCTTCTTAGACAACACATTTGTAGTTTGTTGTTATTATACTTGAGATTTTTCCTCATTTGTTTTGTACAAGTGTTGGCACCATTGTTTGTTTATATATATTTTGAGAACGGCTTATGGAGCTTTTGGGAGATGAGAAGTATTTGCGTTTGGATATTTGATTTATAATATTGATAGGTATTAATTTGGTTTTTGTATATATCAATACCGAATAAAATATTAGGGATTGGGATTGGAATGCAAATTTATTTTGGGATTGTGATTTAGTTTAAGACACTATTTGGTTTTTGAAATTTGATTCTGTAATTACAATAACGTACCGATTTCAACCCATAGTTGGGAGTACGAGTTGTAGTAGTACGCATATCTGAGTTGTAGTAGTCAGCGTTAGACTTGTAGCCATTAGGACTCAGAGTTGTAGTAGTAGAGTCACAGTTGTGGTCATTTGTTGTTTCTTTACTAAGTTGGAATAAGATTAAAGTGAGCCTACCTTGATTAGCAATCGTGTTCCATCGGTCGAAATTGGTTTATATGTAAAACAAATAACAATAGAAAAATAAGGGCCACAGGGTAAATTGTGTTTCATACTACAAATTTCATTCATCAAAATCCATCATGAAATCTAACAAGCAAACACCAGATTTTTCCAAATTCATAATGAACCAAATTCATCATAAATTCAAGAGTTTTCAAAATCTGAATTTTAACCAAAATTATTATTTTTCAAATCTAACAAGCAAATGACTCGTAAGTATTTAATTCCATCTTTCAAAGTTTTTTTCTTACCTTTCTCCTTGTATGATTTGAGGTATATAAAATTTACAATGGAATTAAAATAAAAAAAGTAAGTAAGATGATAAAATCGTACAAATTTAGAATTTGAATCCCAAATTTTAACTAGCTTACATATAAATAAATAAAACATATTGAATATAGTTTTTCCTTTTTACGGGCGGGTGATTCGCTTAACCCAACAACAAAAATAACAAAGTCGTTGGCGCTGGAGAGGGGAGTGTGAAGACTTTAGACGGAAACTAGGGTTGCTCGTGGAGATTGAACCTCAAAATCAAGATCCCCTTTTCTTACCTTTATTTTTTTCTCTTATTCTTGTGCCTATGTCACCTCTCTTTCCCCTGTTAAATTATTTTCCTTAGTTCCCTGCACGTGATAAATGATAATCATCTCCATTTGTAGAAAACTCCTCCATAATACAATTTCTATCCAATTTCAGAATCAGTTCGACATATATTTTCCTATTCAATCTCCTTATTTTCGTCCGATAACTCTCTCCACCGATTATCATGTCAAGTTGACTCCTTTATATATATATTGTGATGTGGGTGAACCCACAAACCCACTCATATCATCCACCATCCGCCCGACCCAACCTGAGACTAAATGTGGGTGGGTGGTGGGTTAAAAATTATCAGTCCGTTTAAGCACGGGTGGGTGCGTTCTATGGTCAAAATCCGCCCGACCCACCAAATGTCCATCCCTAAGGAGGAATGAGCCCTTCACCAGTTAAATATAAAGAAATGGTTAAAGTAGATAAACATAAGGGTTGGAAACTTGGGATAGGGTGCATAATTATATTTGGGTCTTTGATTTTGAACGAGATCAGATGTAAGGACTGACAGCAAATGAAATTTTAATTTTATATCATTTTTAATGGGTGTGCATCTTTTTTTCAATTTGGAATATATATTTTCCATAATATTGAACGATTTATTGTGATCTACAAAATGATATTGATTTTTTTTTATAAATTTCAAAAATTGTTTTCATCCCACTTGTTACCACCTTCATTTTTAACTCAAACTTTACATTTTTTGCATAGAATAACGTGTTCGTCGTGATCTACAAATTCATGGAAAATATTTTATGACCAAATATACCACCATGGTATTATGCAGACAACAACAATTGTACACTGTTATATTCATACCATCAAGGTATGTATCCACTCCACCATGGTATAATTTTACATACTACCAAACATTATCACCATGGTATGGTATGACGGGTAATATATATCTCAAATGTTTTGTTCCAAATATTAAAGTTGATATTACTATGAAAAGTATGATTAATATAATTATTGAATGCAAAAATAAAAAATTGAAGTCTTTTTTTTTTTGTAGAAAGGACGACGCAAAAGCGCCTAACTCATATTAATAACACGTTCATGGGATACACCCATTACATCATGGCGAAGCCAACTAACTAATCCAGAATCGCTAACATTGAGATTGTGTGTACCAAAACTAAAATCATGGCCGAGATTCGCCAAGTAATCGGCTGCAAAATTGGCCTCTCTGTACACGTGATCCACTGTAACATCCCAATCGAGACTGAGAAGATGGCTAAACTGATATGCAATACTACAATGTCTATGCTCCTCTTTGTCCCTATTCCTGATGACATCGATGGCTGTGGTAGAGTCCATCTTAAGATTCACCTTTCGATAGCCCTTGTTCCACGCAATTTTCAAACCCTCAGCCGCTCCCTTGAGTTCACTAACATATATGTATAGTCGGTAACCAACCAAGTCACTAACAAGATACACTCCCTAAACATATATAATAGATTTCATTCATTAAGATGAAGAAACGAGACAAGTAACTAATTAATTAAAGTACACAAACACGAATCAATATTGACTAGTGATCGAAATTACCATTCTTAATAAACACAAGCAAGCTACATGCGCACATTCATCATTACATATATATATTCCATCGATCATATATAATATAATATTAAGACTAGAGAAAAGATCCAACACTCTAGACTATACTAGAGACTAATTAATTAAGTAGCACCAAATTTGACAAAGGCTAATTGAAGTATATCCTTATTTAATAAGTAAACTCCAAATCCCACCCTAGCTAGCTAGCTTCTTTTTCCCCCCCTCCTTTTGTGAATATATAATGCTCAAACTCCCATGGTGAAAATTAATTAAGACATAGAGTGGTGGAAAGGCTTGAGCATCTGCACAAGTTGGCCACTAAGGTGTGCGGACATGATCTCATTGGTGGAGCCCATGAACTTGCCGCCGATGAACACCGCCGGGACGGGGCCGGCGGCGGCGGCGCCTCCGAGCTTCATTAGGGCTTTCTCCATCTCCCTGCCTTCCGGGTCCTGGTCGATGTCGTACATCACCGGCTTCACCCCGATCCCTTGGAACAACATGTTCACGGCGTAGCACATGCAACAAGAGCTCTTGCTGAAGATCACCAGCCCGTTTTCGGACGCCAAACCCATCACCTTCTCCATTATTCCCTTCGCGGTACGTAATCCGTTCCTCCCTGAGATCGCTCGGATCGAATTCGAGGTGGATCGAATTCGATTCGAGGCGAATATTATGGGTGTTTTGTTTTTTTTGGAGAGGTGTTCGTGGTTTGGACTTAGAGGAGTGTTTACATGGAAGACTATTTATAAGGATCCAGGAGGAGGGTGTGTTTGTTACTGTTGAGTGTTTTTTTGAGAAGAGAGAACATTCAAAAGGGGAGGGAGATGCTGAAAATTTTGTAAAAAAAAAAAAAAGTGATGGTGACTAACGTGCTTCCAAGGACCGAACAATTTGGCCCTAGCAACGCCAAATAATAGGGAATATATATATGTTGGGTTTGTAGGCCATTAGTACTCTCATGATCTTATGTTAGGATCGATACTTAGCTTGTTTGCTTACCACGAGATCATGGGATCATACTATAGTTTGCTCTATTATGCACTAGCGTAGTAGCGTTGATTCTCAGAAATCGTGACTTAATTTGTCTTGTATGTAACATATATATGTATTTAATTTTAGGTATCCTATGTGATAACTGGTATATCATTCACACCTTGTCTAAATGGACTTTTCTAGACTTTCATATCGGAGCTATCATATTTGTCGGCAGGAACATGCACCGGCGGACTCAGAAATGTTATCTAAATCTGTTCTTTACAAAAATTAAATTAAAAAAATAAGAAAATATATGATTGTTACAAGTTACTACAAAATACTGCGATTTGTTTTCATATTCCAAAATATTTTGTAAAATACTGAGTCTGTGTCTACAGTTCTCAACAAATCTCTTTCAATATATCTTACTAGAGAATCGTTCATGAGCTGATGACATATTCGATTCTGAATTTTGTTCTTGAAGTAATCCAAAGATTAAAAAAACATCTTTCAACACTTGTGGTTAATTGCAACCGGTAAAATCATTACCAATCTCCACCATCAACTGAGCTAATTATTTAATTTCTTTTAGTATACATAATAACTCATCATTCCTCACACAATGATAATAATTCTTCCATAGAAAAAAAATGTAAGAAAGGTGACCAAACTCATTAGTATAAATTAAAATCGACTAAGGCTTACCATTTTTATTTGTTTATGAATAACTAAGGCTTACCAATTTCTCCTTGTGTAAAGGAGAAAACTCATTCTTCAGGCTCATACAAGTCATACAAGTCTACAACCTGGTATTCACATCATCAAAGCGGTTATTAAACTCTTGGAGATGCATATCAAGAACCGAATAAAATAATTCAATCTAATAGTGATACAAGTTTGTATACCATAAGAAAATCCAATCAAATTTAGGTTTAGGGACTTAAGGAATTGGGGAATTGGGTATAATTACACTTCTAGTTTAGAATATAATTGTATTTATGTTTAAATCATTACAAAAAAATAAATTGTATTCTAATGGTAAATATGTTTATTAATGATAGCAGTTAGCAGAATAATTTTATTGAGATAGTCTCTTAGGATCGTTTGGTTTTGGTGATACTTAAATCAATGCATTATGATCAATTCATGCATTGTAATATACATGCAATTAAGGAAAATGATGTAATATACTTTGCATTGTTTGGTTTTGGTGATAGTTATTTTAGTATTCAACAAGTTACATTACTTTTTGTGGGAAAGATAACTTTTGCCCTTGCTTTTATTAGAACATATGTATATAACTAGTGGTATAATTGTAACAAAAAAAAAAAAGGAACCCAACAATCTCCTCAAAACTATCTCAACAATCTCAAGTTTTAGTAGAGATATTACTATCACTCATTTTGAGTGATAGTTTCCATCACATCAAGCAAACGATGCATGTATTGTTTGTGCAAAAAATTCAAAAAAAAAAACAATGCATTGTGGACAATACGTGCATTGTAACTATTCCAACCAAATAATCACCAAAACCAAACGATCCTGAACTTTGGATTACAGAAAATTGGTGTAATAACATGTTATTTTCAGCCCTCATTTAATTAAATCCGGCCTGTGCCACTGAGCTTTTCCCTTAAATATCGATGATTATAATGATAATCATCATTGTGGCATTAATTAATTGCCAAAGACCACACACACGTACTGGCCAGCGAAATAGAAAGGCAGGAAAGGAATATAAGAGATCCTGATCGCGGGCTGAGTCTGGGGTACTAATTAACTAATAACAGGCAGCAGCAGTAGTCAAAATATTTCATACTTGGGGATTCCCAAAATCCAATTCCTTTCTAAGTGCTGAAAGATTGGGAAGGAGATAGATGCCTTTCGGTGGGCTGCATGGATTCCTTCATCTCTCGATCCCTTTCTGTGCAATATATTCCTCCCGCCAGCCCAAGTTGCATGCATGGATTCCGTTCAACCAGTGTCCAGTATCTATTTGATGACCATATCCCCGCGAATCTCCCTCCACTCAACACGTGCGAAGACCATTACTGTTAAAGTTTGATATACGATACATAATTGAATATCTTTCAATAATTCGAGTTATTAGAATCAACTGGTTCTGACGTGTTGATGTTAATCAGAGTCTTCTGCTCGAATCTCGATGACTTTGTTTGTTAAGCACGTGGTATTTGGAACTGTGTAAACTTCAAGTGTCTATAAGTAGGCTTTAGTTTGAGAGGGGTGTTTGTGTAAGTGGTATATTATCATGATTGAACCGCTTCTAACAGTTCGAGTTATTGGAATCATCAACTGGCACTACAAAAAAAAAAGGAGGTTTTAGTCGTCCCCGGAAATAGGAAAAATCGTCCCTATAGTTTTTGGGGCCGACTAAGTCGTCCCCAATGTGTGGTTTCCTATACTCTTGTCCTCTATTCTTTTGGGGATTGAAAAAAATATAGGTCGTCTCCATGAGTAGGGATGACAGTCGCCCCCAATATTCGCAAGTCGTCGTCTCGTTTCTTTTCCATGAAAGACAACATGTCGTCCCCCTAGCTATAACTTTAGCGACAATAAGTCGTCCCCTTAACATCATTTCTAGGGACAAACTGTTGCCCCACATAATCGATTTCATAATTGCGTTGAGCCAATATGGGGATGATTTGTTGTCCCTTTTTTTCTTTTTATAGGATCGACATGTCCTTCCTATAGGTATCAAATTGGAGTCCAAAATTCGTCCCCAAAAGTTGTATTCAACGACTACGAGTGGTCTCCTATACTATATCTTTAGAGACAACAAGTTGCCACCTATGACTTTTAGGGATGAACAATTGTCCATTAACTTGTGTATTGTCCACTATGTAACTCATATGAACGATATGTTGTCCCTTAGCATGTGTCTTTGGGGATGACTAATTGGCACCTGTATCACTTATGGGGACAATCAATTGTCCTTTAACCTTTATTTTTTGGGACGCCTAATCGTCACCTATTAACTGGCAGGGACGACCAATCATCCCTTAAGAAGTGTCTTCAGGCTCGTCAATTTGTCACCAATATAACTTATATGGACGACCAATCGTCTTTAACCTTTATCTTTTGTGATGACTAATTGTTACCCAGGTACCAAATCTTTTTGTGATTGAGTTATGAGTTTGAGTGGTAAAGTAGAGATCACCGTGCCAAATTGTGTGTCTGTATGTCTTGGATGTGTTGTGATCGAGTTAGTGGCACGGTTGATTAGATCGAGTCGAAAATTTTGGAAATGCCCTATTTTTCTCTTAGTTCAATATTTTACCCTATTATTACGGTCACCAGACCATGATAATCGGGCTAAGACCGTGAATTCAGAAGGGCAGATCCGCTTTTCAAAACTCGCCGTTTTGGCCCAGTTCACGGTCCAGGAGTTATGTTCACGGTCGATTAGACCGTGAAAACTAACCTCTGTCCGTGAACTGCTGGCTCGTGCTATAAAAGGAGAGTGAACCCTTCTTCTTCACTTCACGCCTCCTTCTTGCCGAAATTCTCTGAAATCTCGATAGAAAACCGCGACACTTGCTGTTCTTCGGCGATTTCGGCCACCCAAATCTAAATCCAAGACTAGACCCATTATCCTCGCGTCTTAGGCTACCTTCGCCGAAGTTTTGGAGCAGTTTGGGTCGATTTTTTTCCAGCGAGGCGACTTCCGACGAGCTTCCGTCGAAGCTCCGGCGAGCCCCCTCCGGGAATTTTTTGACTCCCTCACTTTCCCCTTCAATCGTACTGGAGTCTCAAGGTGTGTTTTTGAATTTTACCTTGTTAATTTTTGAGAATCGAATTAGGGTTGTAGGTGAGGGGAATTTGTGATTTATTGCATGAATGTTGAAATTGGGCGAGGGGTTAGTCTATTATTGTTGTTTGAATGATGCATGATGTGGTTTCGATCTTAGTTGAGCCTTGGTGGGCACGAATTGGGTATGAATTGTGTTAAAGTGCAAAAAATGCCCACCAAGTGCAAATTTTTGAATGAATGATTGAACCCTGTTTTGTGAATAATGGTTGGTGGCCATCGAGGTGTGGTTTGGGTTCGAAATTGTTATTTTGATGAACCATGAATCACCTAGAACCACGCCTCGGTGTGCTTTGGCTGCAAATGAGCTTAAATAGTTGAAAACTGATCTTGTGAAAAGCCTTTGAATGCATATGACCGTGGTGGAATCCTAAGTGCGGGGAGAGTCAATTTCTCCCCAATGATTAGTAATTGATGAATGATTCCACATATGGTGTATATCTTTGATGTTTTGCAGGATGGTTGATGTGGATCATCGGTTCATTCACTACCTAGTGCATCACGAGAAGTATGGCAACATGTTCGAGCAATGGAGGTATAGTGATGTCGGACCTCACTGGTTTTTGGACCTGGACATGTTCACCATGTTCACGTGTCGGGCGGCAATGTCTGGAGTGCTCATCCATCCCTAGTGACGACACCTCATGTCAGTGGACGAGCTCATCTACAGATAGCTCTGTGTGGAGTTCTACTCCACTTTCTCTCACGTGATACCATCCAGGAAGCACAACCAGTCATATGTGGTATTTATGTTGGGAGGTCAGCATAATGTGCTGACCT